CTACACCATGAGTCTGTTTTGCTGACAGGCATGTTGGACAGCACAGGAGTGTAATGTATGACACGCCCCAGGTTGCCCTGAACATGAGGTGCCCTGATGTCAGCCACCCCTGAATCTTGCTCTCTCCACAGAAAGCCAGCCGACCTGCACAACCTCGCCCCTGGCACCCATCCGCCCTTCCTGACCTTCAACGGGGATGTGAAGACGGACGTCAATAAGATCGAGGAGTTCCTGGAGGAGACTCTGACCCCTGAAAAGTAATGGGCTGTTTATCTCCACAGCTAACGGCAGGGAGGGGCCCTGTGGGGACTGAAAATATCACAGTGTTAACGTCGAGGGGGCAGATTTCCAAAGGGGCCTCCTTCATTCAGAGCATAGGACCCTCTTTTCAAAGAGACAGTCCAGGGCACCCCTCCTCACCCCCAAAGAGCTACCAGTCTCAAAACTGCTCCATAAAGTCCAACTCCAAGAGTGGGCACCCCTGTGAAGTGGGCAGACGACTCCCCTAAGAATGGCTTCAGGAGCACTGGGGAGGTCAGCACCCCTCCATCCCCCTAAAGAAGTCCTCTCTCCAGTTCACTTTGCCTGGAAGACCCCCATGTGAAGGCAAAATCTCCCTCATTTCAGGAGAGCTGAAAGGCTAATGAAATGAAAATAAGCCAGGAGAGAGACAACCCACAACTCAAAGCCACATGAAGGCATAAATAAGAGCTGCAAATTGGACCAGGTCTGGCCTGAGGTTATAATTAAACATGAGAAAACGGACTGAGAGCAGCATCTCTTCTGAGGAAGGGCACAGGGAGAGGAGGCCAGGGGCTGTAGCTTCCTGTCAGGTACGTGAGCTGCTCCCCATGGAAAAGAGGAGTAAAGGGCAGATGGGGCCTAAAAGTAGCTGGAACTGAACCTGTTTGTTATATTGAATTATAATTAGGGAATAAGACAATCACCAAAGTTCTTTTTTTTAATAGAAAAATAATATTATGTATAGAGCTCGGACTTTATCCTGTAGGGTACATGAAAAGTTCTAAGTGAATGTGCTGGAGAGTTGGTTTTCAGGCTTACTTTCCAGGTTGGGGGCAGGCGATGAGGAGGGCAGAGATCGGAAGAGTTGGAGGTGGAGAAATCAACAGGGAGAGCCCTGGCTGCTGTGGCTCAGTTGGTTGGAGCATCGTCCCATACACCAAAAGGTCAAGGGTTCAATCCCCTCTCAGGGCACATGCCCAGATTGCCCAGTCAGGGTGCATGCAGGGAGACAACCAATTGGTGTTTCTCTCTCTCTCTCAAATCAATTTTTAAAAAAATCCTTGGGTGAGGATTTTAAAAAAAAAATCAATTGGGAGGAGCCAATTGGTGACATCCTGTTGGTGAGGATCCAATCACATGACCCCCAACCAAACTGAGAGTGAGAAGCTGGGAAATGCAGAGTAACACATGGATACTTATTGAGCATGAGTGGTCTTTGCTACAGGTCAATTATTTAAAACCTGTCCTTAAAAAAATGTTTTTATTGATTTTAGAGAGAGAGAAAGGGAGAGGGAGAAACATCAGTTGGCTGCCTCTTGCATGCCCTCTACTAGGGATTGAGCCTGGGAATTGAACCAGCAACTTCTCAGTGCAAGGGACTACGCTCAACCAACTGAGCCACACTGGCCAGGGCTTAAAATCTTTCTAATATTTAGTTCTCACATCTACAGAATGATGACCATAATGTTGATTTCAAGGGACTATTGTAGAAGATAGTGCTACTTATCCTAGTGGCTGACAGAGTAAGAGCTCATTGAATAGCAGCCTGAAGAGTTAGAAAAAGAAGTCAATGCCTTTTTTGTGACCGTAAGGACAATGGGTGAGCTTAGATCTTAAAACCACAGATCCCAGTGGGTGTCTTTTAATGAATAAGCCAGATTCCGTCCACCTCCAAGGCTCATTTGCTTAAGGAGCAGAGACAGGACAAGGCAAGCAGCTCACAATCAAGGGTCGGAAGAGTCGGAAGCCATTAGCCTGCTTCTCGAGGAAGGTTTGGTGAGACGAGGAAGCAGAGATAATGGAGAAGGGACAGAGGGCAAGTCCACTCACTTTTCAGCTCATTAGAAAAAGGAAGGTTAACACTCAAGCTGCCCGGGGAGCCCCTGAAATCAGCAAAGGTCACTCCACAAGGACAGGAAGACTGACTCTCTTTTTCTCCAGGGGAGCCCCAACATCAGGGTCAAGGCCTGGCTGCTGGTAGGCGCGTACTGCATGTTGATTTACTTGCACTGGGGCCCTTTTTCAGTGGCGTGGCTGTCAATGTCTGGTCAATGAGAAGTCAGTTGGGACTCTAGGCCAGTGAGAGTCCTTCCATCTACAATTATATATGTATTTTTGCTACTATTTACAAAAGAAAGATTTTTGGGGGGTGGGACGGGGATGGGGCGCAACTGTTTTACTCCCCAGAATGAAGCTGAAGTGCATGTCTAAGATGAGTACATTTGAAATAAGATATCTTAAAAAAAATGGAGAAAAATGTTCACTAGTTAGAGCAGAGGTCCACAAACTCTTCTGTAGAGCCAGATAGCGAGTATGCTTGGCTTTGTGGGCCATTATAGTCTCGGTCACAGCCCCACTCTTATAAAGCAAAAACAGCCGTAGACAGTGTGTGAATGAATGGACGTGACCATGTTCCAATAAACATTTTATCCATGAACACTGACATTTGAATTTCATGTTATTTTCACACATCACAAGATAATATCCCTCTTTTGATTTTTTTTTTAATCGTGTCAACAGATAGGCTGGATTTGGCCTTCTGGCTGTAGACTGCTAACCTCTGAGTTAGAGAAACTCGCGGTTGCCTTGACTGTCACCAGACATCACAACCTTATTTCAAAGATGTTTCTATGAGTGGAACACTATTCTCTAGCCTTTTGGAGAAAGAGGATGGACTCTGTAGCCCACCTATTGCCCATTTAAAATATAGTGTGAATATGGAGCTGAAATAAACATACTTAATATCCTGCACACAGTAACCTCCTCAAGTCTAGCTACTGAAATCTGTGAGATTTATATTTGAAGGCACACTCCACATAAGGACAAACTTCACATGGGGCATATTGCTCTACAGTAAGGTCTCAATGAGTCCTAGTGCTTAGAAAACAAACAGCTCTACTGAGGTCTCCCTGACCACGTGGACCTTGTCCTCCCTCTTGGATCGGGTACCACCCACCCGTGTTTGTCTCAGACTGATCATGGAGAAATGATCAGTTACTGGAAGTGTGAACAAATGATGGCATTATAAAAACACACACCTAACAAACCCAAACCTAAATAAAAATGCATTTCCTAGGCCCCTTTCTCTTTCCATTATTACCTTATCAAGCAAAAACACAGCATTTGGTATCTATTAATAACTTAAGGCAATCAATTCTAAGAGCATGCCAGAATTTCCGCGAGAAGGCGAAAATAGGAAAGGGTTATCCTAAATTCCCAGGTCTTGGTACATTACCTAGCATCTTGCAGTAAAGCTTGCTTTGTGCCCCCAATCAGAGCAGAGAATTTGATAAATTCCCAGTAACACTTGGAAAATCAGGTGTGTGCAGAACAGGCACAGAGCGCCCCCTCCTGGTGGATGGAGAGAGTTCATCCATGGTGTTCAGCCAAGGCTCAGGAAGGATTTGAGGGCTTTGAGGGTAAAACAGCAGAGTCTACCTGAAATTAAACAGCTACCTATCACGGCCCAAGAGTGGACAGTCCTAGCTAATGGGCCAGTGGAGAATCAGAAAAATGAAAGAACAACAAATAATTTTTAAAGGCATTTTGGTGCATATTATTTTAAACATTAAATAAAAAAACTGTTTTGCTTTTCAAATATAAAGCAACCAAACAGCTCACAGTTGGCAGTTATTCACCCAGAGATCACAAAGGTTCACAGACTTGATGATAAAGACAATCATGCACTGTCTTATATCTCCTCTCACCCCAGCCTGGCCAAACACACAGAATGCATGTGGAATCTATAATAATAAAAGTGTACTATGCTAATTAGACCAGACAACCTTCCAGACGACCTTCTGGATGAAGCCGAGGCTGTGAGGGAAGCCCGGGTCCTGGGTGCCAGAGGGAAGCCAATGCCAGCAGCTGGGGGAAGGAAGGCCAACTCTTGCACAAATTTCGTGCATCGGGCCTCTAATATATATATATAAATTAGAATTGTTCATTTTAATGGTGTGAATGGGGTCAAACCCATGGATTCCCACACAGGCAAGTTTATCCCATTCTGACTCAAGGACTATTATCTCAATGGTAAACAGTCCTAACCCCAGTGTACCTTTTATATTCTTCTGGCTTCAAAAGGAAAGAATGTGCAAGGTAGAGGGGCTGGATCCTTGCAAATCTGTATCTACGCTTAGAAATGACACAATTGAAAATGCTTGCCCCAGCCGGTTTGGCTCAGTGGGTAGAGCATCGGCCTTCGGACTGAAGGGTCCCAGGTTTGATTCTGGTCAAGAGCACATGCCTGGGTTGTGGGCTCCATCCCCAGTAGGGGGTGTGCAGGAGACAGCTGATCAATGATTCTCTCTCATCACCGATGTTTCTATCTCTCTCTCCCTCTCTGAAATCAATAAAAAAATATATATTAAAAAAGAAAAAAGAAAGAAAACACTGCTGGTGCTGCTGGAGCCCGGTGCTGAGCTCCCGGCACACAGATAAGGAGTGTGCAGAGGATGTTTCAGAAGAGGACCGTGGTCCCCTTCCTTTCGGGAAGTGGTTTTGAGGCCTCAGTGACAAGGTGCCTAGCATCTCCTTGCTCCCAGAATTCGCTCCAGGATATAATGAGCGGCCTGGCAGTGGGTAGCGATTTTTTTTTTAAATATATTTTATTGATTTTTTACAGAGAGGAAGGGAGAGAGATAGAGAGTTAGAAACATCGATGAGAGAGAAACATCGATCAGCTGCCTCCTGCGGGCCTTTCATTGGTGCATTGTTGTTGGTGGTCCAGGAATTCGGCACCTTCTGGGCCCTCTGAATGGTGTTTTGGTTCCTGCCTCCAGACTGTCCCTGCAGGCAGCTCACCGGCCTTGGTGTTCTCCATCGGTGAACGAGGGCTGAGATGCCCGCCCTTCCTAAAGGGTGGGAGTAACACCCAGGGGGGTTGTGGATCCAGCTAGTAACAGGGGTGCTGCTTAGACGGGAACAGAGTCTCCCCTAAAGGAGCTCCAGGTTCTCACTGACCCCAGAACCCCGCAACTTCCATTGCAGGTACCCCCGGCTGGCTGCAAAGCACCGGGAATCCAACACAGCAGGCATCGACATCTTCTCCAAGTTCTCTGCCTACATCAAAAACACCAAGCAGCAGAACAACGCTGGTGAGTGACTCCCGGACACCAAGACCCCCTGGCTGCGCTGTCCCTGCCCAGGGCATCTCAGATACTCAGGTCAGAGAGGCACCGGGGAGCAGTGCTGCTTGCTGTTCGTGCGCCTCGCCCCATCCCCTAGACACAGGACAGGGCTTGTCGATCCTGCTTTCTGGTTAGTGCGGGAGGAAAGGCTGCGGGCCTTACTGCTGGATTGGGGGGAGGGATGCAGTGTGCATGCCGAGTCGGCCTTAGTGCACAGGAGGGTCCCTCCTCCGCATACTATGGACCATTTGTCCCAAATTCACAACTCTGGCTGTGCTCTCAGGAAGTCCTGCTGGAACAACAGCTTCCTCTGGTCCCTGGAAGACTTCTCGGGGCTGTCAGAGGCCCTGGTGGGACAGCGCAGTCACCACAGTGGGGAAGGCTGAAGGCAGGGGCGGAGGGGGCGGGGGACCACTTCTCAGAGCCTGGCTCCTCCTCCAGGGGCTCTGGCTGCAGAGCTCAGGACTTGGTCCCCTGGTGCAGCTTCTCAGAGGGCCTGGAACGCCTCACTGAGGCTCACAGCACGTCCAGTGCCTCCTTGGGCATTGTCCTTTCAGAATGAACTGATGTAATTGGAATAGAGCAGTCAATTGAGCGTGCCGGACACCTAGAACGCAGGCCCTAGAGAAGGAAAGGAACAAGGAGGAGAACGTGTGCTTGCCCTCTGAATGGGAGAATGAATGAGATCGCCTTATAGGCTGGCGCCTGGGTGGAGCCCAGCACAGAGCCAGAGTGAACGCTTCATGAGCGTCTGTGAATGTGTGGCCATCAGATAAGCACACAGTGGACCAGAGCAAGGTGGCTTATGACAGACCTCCAGGACTCAGGGGAGAAGGCATTGCTTTAGACCAGCAGTTTCTGACCCGTGTGCCGCAAGAACTTTTAAAACATGCAATTCCTGACTAGTCAGGGACACAGACCTCTTTTCCCTTAGGTTGTCAAATAAAAACAAAATGACAACAGCCAACACAGCAATAGCCATCTGGTGTGAATGAATCAAAATTATACCTGTTTGTTTTGGGGTTTTTTTTGTCAGATTGGCAAAAAAATACAATATACATTTTGGTGTGCCGCAGAATTTTACTTAACGAGTTTATGTGCCAGGAGGTGCAAAATGACAGCAGCTATCACAGCAATAGCCATCCGGTGTGAATGAACCAAAATTATACCTGTTTGTTTTGGGGTCTTTTGTCAGATTGGCAAAAAAATACAATATATATTTTGGTGTGCTGCAGAATTTTACTTAACGAGTTTATGTGCCAGGAGGTGAGAAAGGTTCAAATCGCTGCTTTGTACCCAGGTGACCAGGAAAGGCAGCCACGCGTGGCTGAAGAAGAAATTTTGGCAGGTGCAGAGTTGGTGCAGTGAGAAGTAAATAATTCAGTAAGTTACTGAGGACCTGGATTGTGCCAGGCACAGAACTAGATTCCAGAGAAAGAACTAGAAAAAGACTCTCTATCCTCTGAGGCCTGGTCGATGCAGGAGAAAAGGCTTAACTTCCCCAAATGTCAAGTGACAAGACAGGTAAATGATGGCTTATTCCAAGGGGGTCTGAAGAGCCGGTTAACTGTCCTGGAGAAACAGTATCTGCCAAAGGTGCTCAGAGCAGCAGGAGGGATTTACCGACAGGGCCTTTGAGAAAGCTTCTCGGAAAAGTTTCCGCTGCGTCATAACGGTTGAAAGGGAGTCAGTTGTCTGGAAACATTGGTTGGATGCTGCGGGGAGGGTGGGAAAACACTAGCAGCAGAACCAAGAAAAGGGGTCAGGGCCTGCAGTGCCTGCCTGGGAGGCTGGACTTGTGGAGGGGCAATGGCAGCCATTCGCGGTGCATGAGGAGGCACTAGGAGGAGAGCAGTCTTTCAGGGACCAGAAGAAGACGGATGTGGAAAATATTTTGAACATATTCAATGCCCCTGCTTTGTTGCATTTGGACCCTGTGGTGGGGTGAGTAGTGTCCCCCAGAAATTCATGTCCACCCAGGACCTCAGAGTGTGGCCTTATTTGGAAAAGGGGTCTTTGCAGATGTAATTAGTAGAGAGTCTCCAGATGAGCTCGCCCTGGATTGAGTGTGGCCCCTAAATCCGATGACTGGTGTCCTTATAAAAGGAGGAGAGGGCACACAGAGACACAGGGCAGGAGGCCATGTGAAGACCACAGAGACGGGAGGGCAGCAGGCACAAGCTGCGGGCCCCATGGGGCCACCGGAGGCTGAAAGAGGCAGAACGGCTTCCCCTCTAGAGCCTGTGGCCCTGCCGACACCTTGATTTTGGACTTCTGGACTCTAAAACCGAGGGACTAGATTCCTGTTGTAAGCCACCCAGCGTGGGGTACCCCATTGTCGTCGTCCTTGGAAACTGAGGCAGCCCGCACACCATCGTGTGAAAGGGCGGGTTCTGCCACTTCTGGCTGGGGCCGCAGAGGCAAACGAGGGGGCCGGGGCCTGTCCCTGCCTCCCCTCAAACCCACAGAGCTGGCTCCGGACCCTCGTTTTCAGATTCCACACCCAGGCGCTCTCTCCTCCCAGCCACAAACATCTTGCTTCATACTTGTCACCCTCAGAAAGTGCAGCTCCTTGGAGCCTTCCAGCTTTTCCAAGTTATAAACAGAATTCACACAGTATCCGCACTTGCTGTCCTCCCATCCCCAAAGCCAGAGCTACCGTTTCCACTGAACATCGGGTATCCATTTCCTATAAACGCCACACGGTCCAACTTTCATTGTTTCCTCTTCTTCTGTTTCGCCCTGTTTTTCTCCTGAGGGCTTTGCCCTTGTGACTCCTCCCCCCCTGGCTCATCTGCACATTTCCAAGCGCCTGCATTTTTGCTTTCCCAGCGCCCAGCCCCAGATCAGAGTCCCTGGCGCTATTCTCTTCTGCCTTTTAACAGGACCCCACATGCTCGTCCTTCGTTGTAACCGTTGTAACCATAGCTGGCCCACTCCCCTCCCTTCCCTGACCCCATACCCCCTGGTTGTGGTCAGTGGGTCCAAGGTTCTTAGGCTCAGAAGCCAGAGGTCAAACCTCTGCAGAGAGCAGCTCCATGGCCCCGCACACAGCCCAGTCCCCTGCCCCCTGAGACAGTGCACACCCCCTGTCTGCTCCTTGGAGCTCTGTAGGAGGTGGGGGGCAGCCTCCACAGATCTCAGGTTGGCATCAGCCTTAGACCCAGCCTTCCTATGACCTCCCTCCTGCACCACCCTCCATCTCCCCCTGCATCTTCCGCTCTGCACCTGTCTCTCCAACGTTCTTTCTTCAGGTGGTTCCTTTTGTGTTTTTGGCTTTTTTCTCTGAGCAGAGCCCTCCTCCCTTTCCACCATCTCCCCACCTAATGTCCCAGCCTCCTGTGCCTACATTGGTTGAGGTCCTGATCCTTTCCTGCCCTCTCACCCCAGCACTGTGATGTGGTCTGTGGGGTGGATCACCTCTCCATACCCAGGGTGGGCACAGGAGCACCATTTAAAATACCCCTGCTGCCCGGCTGACATGGCTCAGTGGTTGAGTGTCGACCTATGAACCAGGAAGTCATGGTTCGATTCCCGGGTCAGGGCACATGCCTGGGTTGTGGGCTCGATCCCCATTGTGGGGTGTGCAGGAGGCAGCCGATTTATGATTTTCTCTCATCATTGATGTTACTATGTCTCTCTCCCTCTCCATTTCTCTCTAAAATTATTAATAAAAATATATTAAAATACCCCTGCTGTCCCACAATTCCTCCAAAGTCCTCAGCTACCAGAACCCAGACCCCACTGGGGGCAGCCACCCATAGCTAGCACATGAGAGAGTCATCAGTTAGAATGTAGGTTCAGTCACTCCTTTATTCATTCAACAAGCACAGATTGCATGGAGTGTTGACAAGTCTGAGCCCATGTGTAGGGCATTTCTTGTGTGCCAGGCACTGTGCTAGATTCTAGAGATGCCAAGACAAATGCAACAAAGTCTATTGCCTGTGATGAACGAATCGGGGCAGAAACATATAAACCGGCGATTGCTGGCCTGGCTTGAATTCCAGGCCGGCCACTCCCCGCTGCACAGCTCTGCAGAGGGACTGACTCTCTGAGCCTGTTCGGGATCCCAGAAAAGAGACTTAGCAACCCCTGCAGTTCTTCAGCTGCCACATAAGGCAACTGACAGCGTATCCAAGGTTTGTAATGCAGATTCGTTCATTCTGCAAGTCACTGCCTGCAAATCCTTTAGCGCCCCACCTGACACATAGTAAATGCTCACTAAATGTTAACTTTATTATTATCACAAACATGAGACAAACGTGAATATCAGCATCGAAAACTACGGGTTTGGTTCTGACTCCCCCCCCCCCCCCCCCTTCTCCAACTAGTACTTCCAAATCGCCTACCCATGTAGTCTCTTTCTGCTTGTTTAACTTTGTTCCCCAGTTTCTTGGTGCACTCGCCTCCTCTCCAAAGTATACATCAAAGCGATCAGGGGGCCTGGCTCTGGCGGTCACAGCTCAGTATTGCTGCCTCTGACTGGGAAGTCACGGTTTTGTGTCCGTTGCTGCACTGCCCTCCTCTGGAACCGCCAAAGCTGGCCCCTCACTCTGCG